TTGCCCCCCCCCCCCCCCCATGTAATTGGTTAACCAGTAAAACTTCATCTTTAACTAATTGAAATGGGACTTGACATCCTGGCTCCGAGCAGGGATTTGAATGTGGGTGTCCCCTCTCCAAGGTGCCTGGCTTAGCCCCCGGACTGTGCAGTCCTACAGGGAAGGAGTAATCCTTCCCCCCGGCTAGCTGCCTTTGGGTGGCCCCTGTCGCATGCATGCTGGATGGGGATGTTGCTCCCGGCTGCCACAGAGCAGCATCCTAGTTCTTACTGCCTTGGTCTCGGCGGGGGTCTACACTGCGTGGTACCAGGCCTGTGGGATCCGGGCTTGTGGGCCGTTTCCACGGCTGGTCTTGCGTGTCCACAGGCCTCTGTAAACCGGGGCGTCCAGCGGCCGGAGCCAGGTCTCAGCCATGCCAGCGTGTCCGCCTGGCGCCATGCAGCTCCCCAAACTAGGTGAGCGGGCCACAGAATGGCAAATGAATTTGAAAGTTGGTAAATGAAAGGACTGCAGATTGGAACACACAATCCCAGCCGTAGGTCCAAACTGAGGGGGATTCAATTAGCTGTTACCACTCGAGAGAGATCTCGGAGTCGTCTCTGAAAACATCCCCTCCGTGTGCAGCAGCCGTCAAAACAGCAAACAGAACGTTAGGAATCATTAAAAAAGGGATGGAGAATAAGACAGAGAATATCTTACTGCCTCTCTATAAATCCATGGGACGCCCACCTCTTGAATACTGCGTAGAGCTGTGGTCGTCTCATCTCAAAAAAGATATATTGGCATTGGAAAAGGTTCAGAGAAGGGCAACAAAAATGATGAGGGGTTTGGAACAGCTCCCATATAAGGACAGATTAAAAAGACGGGGTCTTTTCACCTTAGCAAAGTGGAGACGAAGGTGGGGGATAAGATAGAGATCTATAAAATCATGACTGGTGTGGAAAAACTGAATAAGGAAAAGTTATTTACTAATGTAAGAACTAGGGGCATCCAATGAAATGAAGAGGTGGCAGGTTTAAATCAAACAAAAGTAAGTTTTTTCTTCACGCCGAGCACAGTCAACCTGTGGAACTCCTCGCCAGAGGGTGGTGTGAAGACCGGGACTTTAAACAGGGTTCAAAAAAGAGCTAGATAGATTCATGGAGGTTAGGTCCATCAATGGCTATTAGCCAGGGTGGTAGGAATGGTGCCCCTGTTTGTCAGAGGCTGGGAGTGAGTGCTCACTGGATGATTGACAGTTCTGTTCATTCCCTCTGGGGCATCTGGCATTGGCCACAGTGGGCAGACAGGACCATCTGTTCTGATGGTCACAGACCTTCCGACTCTGGTCTGGAGCTAGAGCTGTGCCCACACCTGTCTCAGTGGCATCCGGGCTCAGACCCGCCCCTGGCATGGAACGTAGGCCCTGGGTTCTCCGTGCTTGCTGACCCACGTCGGGCGGGTTTGGGCGTGGATTGCAGGGGGGCTCAAACCGGAGCCTGCGCCTGGGCCTGGGCCTGGGTCTGCCGTGCATTGTGGACACCCCCTGAGCCAGCGGCTGAAGGTGCCTCGCACCCGGCTGGTGGCATCCGGGCTCAGACCCGCCCCTGGCATGGAACGTAGGCCCTGGGTTCTCCGTGCTTGCTGACCCACGTCGGGCGGGTTTGGGCGTGGATTGCAGGGGGGCTCAAACCGGAGCCTGCGCCTGGGCCTGGGCCTGGGTCTGCCGTGCATTGTGGACACCCCCTGAGCCAGCGGCTGAAGGTGCCTCGCACCCGGCTGGGACCAGGCTCGGAAAGAGGAAGGAAATTGGAGCAGACCCGCCTGGGAGCCTTCGGAGAGAGGAAATCCCAGCGCACCTGACCAGCGTTGGGAAGGGCAGAGAATAATTCCCGCTAGAACTTGGCGCCTTCAAAGGCAGCTTGGCCTAGTGGTTGGAGCAAGGCTTGGTGCATCAGCTCCCCTGCTTGGCTGTGGCGTGTGTCCCCGCTGTGTGCCTCGGTTTCCCCATCGGTAAAGTAAGGAGAACACCTGCTTCCTTGCTGCATGGTGCTGTGAGCTCCCCGGGCAGGGCAGTTCATGGAAGCTGGCCCTGGTGCTACTCGAACGCTTGGTCTGGTGCTCTGAGATCAACGGATTTTGTCTCCCCGCTGGCTCCCTGGTCCCTTGGTGCGGAGCGGGTGC